GAGGGCGCGTGCGCGCCTGGGAAGCCTGTGCTGGTGTGCTCCAGCGCGGTGGGGAGTTTGACTTACTCCCAGCAGAGGAGGCAGAGGGTGTGCTCAGCAGTGGTTCCATCCAATACGGATCTCATGGCCTTTAGCCCGAGTCTGACTCCCAATTTGGATAGAGAAGATGAAAGGGAGAGACAAGAGTCAGGATGTAACCACCTTGGACAGGTGAGTTTTTTTTTTTAATATAAATTTCTCCTTTTCAACTGTGTGTGTTCAATTGTTTGTAATTCACTTTTGTGAAAAATTTAATCTATTTTAAATTAAAAATAATGTCTTTTCAATGCTGGATTATTCCTATAGCTTGTCTTTTAATCATATAATCAGATGATGAAATATAAAATGTCTTGTTTTGGAAGTGGCGCTGTAGCTCAAGTGGTAGAGCGCTCGCCTTGAGCTGAAGCGCTGAGGGACAGCGCCCAGTCCCAGAGTTCAAGCCCCACGACCGACAATAAATAAATAAATAAATAAAATGTATTGTTTTTTTTCAATTATCTGTGAGAAAATTGTATAATAAGTGACAAAGGTTACTTGTCTGCTTAGTTACTTGAGCAGAAGTAATCGCTTTTTTGTTACTTACTCACACCGTTTTATCTCTAATCATAGTGATGTGGATGAGCACTGGGAGTCACTCTAATCTGGTGATGTTTGTTAGCAATGTTTTGCTGTGATTTTATTTTCATCTCATGAGATCAGTTGACCTTTGAAGAAAGGGCTTGTTTCAATTTTGGAACCCTCTTCATTTGCTCTGAAATGACTTACATTTTTTTTCTATTGGGTTGAGTACTCATAATAGTGCTACTGCTGTGGAACAACCAAATTCAGCATATTTGGAGAAAAAGAGGCAAATCTTGCATTCTATTCTGCTGCTTTCATTAAAATAATGTAATTCCTGTCTTGATTTTTCTCATGAAATGGCAAAATATTTGTCAAATACAAGTTCACACAAGACAGCTTCCAAAATAAACAAGGCAATTAAAATTCTTCAACTAAATAATGCACCATTGCTTAAGACATGCATGTATTAGTCATATATGAGCCATAATATCTGCTTTATCTGTTCATTAGTTTTTTATTTTTGGTGTTTGTAGGGCTTGAACTCAAGGCCTGGGCTCTGTCCCTAAGTGCTTTTGCTGTAAGCTAAGGTTCTACCACTTTGGGCCACAGTGCCATTTATATATGCTCACAGGGACTTTTCTACCTGGGCTGGCTTGGAACCATGATCCTCAGATCTTAGCCTCCTGAGTGGATAGGGTCATAGATGTGAGCAACTGGCACTCACTAGCTCCTCATTAGTTTTCTTTACTACTTTTCCAAAAGTTATCTCTATTAAGATAAATGCTTGCTGACAATTGTTGCATATATTTGATATTTTAATGGCTTTATTTCTAATGACTATCTTTAATGTTTGTTAGTTTTCTTTCCATATGGGATAATCATATCAAAAGAGTGTAAGAAAGATCATTTATCCCTAGACTATTGTTCTTCTCTATGACACTAAGATGCTGTAGAGTGATGGAACCACAACGCCCTTAAGACTCACAAATGGCCATTTTCCCTTAACATACCAAACCATTTGCCACAGTATTTTGAAGGAATGCACGCTAAAGCTCATTTCTGATTCTTGGGACAAGAACATCATACTTCAGCATCAATTCAATAAAACCAGTTTCAAGTATTTAAAATTAGGCAATGTGATACAAAATATAAAACATCTTTGAAGGAAAAGTGGTTAAATTATTATATCGATGTTGGAACCATGTAAAGATAATACATGTGAATTTTATGTAGGCCATACATTATTGCCTATTCCTAAGTAAAGGTTGAAATTTAAGTTGAAATTTTAAAAAAGACATTGGGTTATTTTGATTAAATTTGATCAATCATTACTTGTGCATGACAAAAATAATTAATGAACTAATTTTTTTAAAAACAGATTTAGGTTTAGTCTTCATAAGATTACATTCTTTAGTATAAAATTATAGCTCCGTTTTATTTTCTAGTTCAACCTTGTGAAAGCTAAATTTAGAATTCTATTTCTTTAATAATTTTATTATCTCAGTGTGTGAGAGCTACAAAATGCACTGTTTTTCATTAAAGTTCTTTTGCAATTATGGTATGCTGACATTTTTGAAAATGGAAAATATGGAATGAAAGACTTCATGATGACATTAGATAATATAAATAGTCTGGAAACACCAAAATTCAAACGTTTATCAAGTAGGCAGTTTTAGGATTGACTTATGCTTGTGGAACCATTCTCAGTTGTATTTTGCTTGTTGTTATATCAAGTTCTCTCAGTTGTTATTTTTAAATGTAAAAGGCTGGCAGAAAATTATGCACTTAGATTTTTTGATGTGTACATTCATGAGCTTATGATATCTATAGTTACTTGTTCACTGTGACACTCTAGTCTTGAGTTAATCAATAATATTATAAATGATTTTTTGATTCTCACTTGCATCATAGTCTCCATTCTGATTTTCTGAAGAGCAGTACATTCTGAGTAACTACTAATTGGCCTATAGAGGAAGATTTAGAGAGGAAATAAATATCAGATTTGGCTCCAAAAATACTTGGAGGTCTTTTGTATATTAGTCTTCCATTGTCACCATAGAATGCTGTGAGATTTGGAAGCTTTGACTCAACATTTTGCATGAAAAGAATTCATCTTGCTAGAACTGAACTCCATAGAACTGATACTCAGGTTTTGCTTTAAAATGTTAGAGGAGTGAGAACTGTGGCCATAAAAGCCATCATAATTAAGTACCAAGGAACCAAAAGTAATAACACTTCACTTATTTTTTATGAATTCTAATATTTACTGGTCTATGACTAAAACAATTTAGATAATGAAATAATGGTTAGTTTTTAAACATTTTAGTTTCATTTATTCGATGGTATATCATTCCTTCCAAATGTTCTATAAACTGCTTCAAAGAATAAAAATAATCAAAACACTGAATTGTAAGTCATAATCAGGCAGGAGTTAGGTATATTGTTCTTTATATTATTCTCCATGATAGTTAAAGAATAGCTTCAATCAGGCATATTTCAAAGATTAGTGATAAGCTTTGGACCAGAAGTTTAAAAAAATTACATAGTTGACATATTTTTGTTTTGTTACTATATCATATGTGTATATATACCATATATATATTTGTATATAAATACGTGGATATAAATGCTATCATTAAAATGATGCAAAAATATCCAAGAATTGAATAAGAGTGGCCAACAAATGGTGTATCTATAAAGAATCTAAGGATTTATCTTGTATATACATAATCTGTCGCATGATGTCGCTATAAACTCAGAATAATGAAAAAGGAACATTTTGTCACCGCACCCACATTCCAACCATTCACAGAAGAGGACTGATTCCATAGTGACCGGAACTCTAGACAAAACTTACTGCATAGATACTTACAGAAATCAGAGACTCTTCATAAAAGATCTCCTGCTAGTACTTCTTTAAAATAGGCAGTTCCACTTCAAAGGACCTCATTGTCTGCAATGGTGTTTATCTGGGGAGGAAGGCTGAGGTCCCAGCGTCTGCTGCTCTCGCTTCTGCTCCTCACTGCCTGGGAATCAGGGAGCGGCCAGCTCCACTACTTGGTCCCCGAGGAGGCCAAACACGGCACCTTCGTGGGCCGCATCGCGCAGGACCTGGGGCTGGAGCTGACGGAGCTGGTGCCGCGCCTGTTCCGGGTGGCGTCCAAGGGCCGCGGGGACCTTCTGGAGGTAAATCTGCAGAATGGCATTTTGTTTGTGAATGGTCGGATCGACCGGGAGGAGCTGTGCGGGCGCAGCGCGGAGTGCAGCCTGCACCTGGAGGTGATCGTGGACAGGCCGCTGCAGGTGTTCCACGTGGAGGTGGAGGTGAGCGACATTAACGACAACCCACCTTTCTTCACAGAAATAGAACAGAAGGTACTCATTTCTGAGTCTGTCCCTCTGGACAGTCAGTTTCCTCTAGAGGGCGCTTCTGATGCAGATATAGGTGTTAATTCTCTTCTGACCTACATGTTAAGTGTAAATGAGTATTTTGCACTTAAAATAGTAACAAAAAAGGATAAGAATGTATTGCCTGTATTAATTCTTCGGAAGTTACTGGATAGAGAAGAAACGCAAGAACTGAGCTTATCATTGATGGTCATTGATGGAGGTAAACCAGAGTTAACAGGCTCTGCTCAGATTCAAGTAACCATCTTGGACGTCAATGACAACGCACCTGAGTTTGATAAGCCTAGTTATAGAGTTATGCTGTTTGAAAATGTCCAAAATGACACAAGAGTAATTCAAGTAAACGCTTCTGATCCAGACGAAGGTTTGAATAGAGAAATTTCCTATGGAATCAGAAAGATTATGCCAAGGAGCGAAAAATGTCTATTTTCAATAAATGCAGACACTGGTGACATTAGAATTTATGGGAACCTGGATTTTGAAGAGAACAATGCTTATGAAATTCAAATTAATGCCATTGATAAAGGAATTCCTTCCATGGTAGGGCACAGCATGGTTCTGGTGGAAGTTCTGGACCTGAATGACAACATACCGGAGATAATCATTACTTCAATGTCACTCCCTGTGCCAGAGGATGCACAAGTGGGTACGGTCATCGCCCTGATCAGCGTGTCCGACCGTGACTCTGGTGCCAATGGACAGGTCACCTGTTCCCTAATGCCCCGCACCCCTTTCAAGCTGGTGTCCACCTTCAAAAATTACTATTCATTAGTGCTGGACAGCGCCCTGGACCGAGAGACCACCTCTGACTATGAGTTGGTGGTGACCGCGCGTGATGGGGGCTCGCCTCCGCTGTGGGCCACCGCCAGCGTGTCGGTGGAGGTGGCCGACGTGAACGACAACGCGCCCGTGTTCGCACAGGCCGAGTACACGGTGTTCGTGAAGGAGAACAACGCGCCCGGCTCGCACATCTTCACGGTGTGGGCGCGCGACGCGGACGCGCAGGAGAACGCGCGCGTGTCGTACTCGCTGGTGGAGCGGCGGGTGGGTGAGCGCGCGCTGTCGAGCTACGTGTCGGTGCACGCGGAGAGCGGCAAGGTGTACGCGCTGCAGCCGCTGGACCACGAGGAGCTGGAGCTGCTGCAGTTCCAGGTGAGCGCGCGCGACGCTGGCGTGCCCGCCCTGGGCAGCAACGTGACTCTGCAGGTGTTCGTGCTGGACGAGAACGACAATGCGCCTGCGCTGCTGGGGCCTCCCGGCGGCGGCGCGCGCAGCGAAGTGCTGTCGCGCTCGGTGGGCGCTGGCCACGTGGTGACCAAGGTGCGCGCGGTGGACGCGGACTCTGGCTACAACGCGTGGCTTCGTACGAGCTGCAGCCGGCGGCGGCCGGTGCGCGCAGCGCGTTCCGCGTGGGGCTGTACACGGGCGAGATCAGCACCACGCGCGCGCTGGACGAGGCGGACGCCGCGAGGCAGCGCCTGTTGGTGCTGGTGAAGGACCATGGCGAGCCGGCGCTGACGGCCACCGCCACGGTGCTGGTGTCTCTTGTGGACAGCAGCCAGGAGCCTAAGACTTCCCGGGTATCTTTGGGTGTTGTTGGCCCAGCTACCTCGCTGGTGGGTGTGAATGTGTACCTGATCATCGCCATCTGCGCGGTGTCCAGTCTGTTGGTGCTCACGCTGTTCTCGTACACAGCCCTGCGGTGCTGGGCGGCGCCCGTTCAGGGCACTTGCACATCTGGGAAGCCTGTGCTGGTGTGCTCCAGCGCGGTGGGGAGTTTGTCCTACTCCCAACAGAGGCGGCAAAGGGTGTGCTCAGGAGTGGTCCCATCCAATGCGGATCTCATGGCCTTCAGTCCTTGTCTTCCACAACCTCAAGAGGATGGTTTAAATCATCTCAGCGAAGTAAGTAATTGGCATCATTCAACTATTTTTGTTCCTTTTAATGCCTTGGTTTATAATTACATCTGTATTTTATTTTCCTTCATAATGTCATCCTGTTTGTTTTTGTCCCAGTCTTGGACGGTTTGAAATCAGAGCTTGGGCGCCGTTCCTGAGCTTCTTTTGGTCTTACATTCGTCTTTTGAGTAACACCTTGTTATTTTAAGTGACATCGGCCACTATGCTATTTTTATATACATAAAATATAACAAAATCGTTAATTTAAATAATTTAAATGTAATCTAAATGATAACTGAAAACAATTTTTTTGGATTTTTTTCTCTCTTGGTGGCACATAAATAATAGCACATCTTACAATTAATGCTATTGTTTTTGCGGTGTTGGAGACTAAACTCATGGCCTTTGAATGCTAGGCAAGCACATTATCCTGAATCTACATCCTCAGCTCTTATGGTATTTTCTTTTCTGTTGACACGTGGCTCATTTTGTAGTCTAGGGTGGTGCTAACCTTTAAAATCCTCCTGCTTCAGCCCCTCAAATTGTAGGGCAACACCTTCCATGGTTGATGAGATTCTCTGATTTAAAGTGTCAGAATACATAGGGACCTCTGTGGCTGTCCAGGTCATCTACTGATACTTTCAGTTGAATTACTTCCATAAATTATCAAATAAGGTATACAGTGCAAGTTCTACAGCTACCAGCCATATTTTACAGATAAAAAGGAAGTCCCACAGATATTGAAAAGTGGTTCATAACCTAGTTTCCCAGGATTCCAAAGTCATTATGTTTTTATACTACTCTGTTCCCATTATAGGTGAACCTTCAAAAGCACATTTTATGTTTTGCAAGTTTCTTCTACAAATGTATTAAAAAGCTTCTCTTTGATCAGAATATAAAACTTTTTACCTCTTTGCCTGGTTTGGAAGGCATTAAAGTTCTAACATTTGCTTCTCTTCCAATATCTCTTCCTTTGGAATATAGCATATGTTTAATTGATCATTTTTGAACTAATATGTTAAAATATATTGGCTGGGAAATATTCCATATCTTAGAAGGGAGTGAAGTCCAGTGATTAGACATTATTTTATGCCAATATGTCTTGAAGGACAGATAACCTTTCAATAGAAAAGAGTTACAGGGGGGAAATAAATGAGCTTAGTTCTCTTTGTTGAATGTATACTCAAAGAACTAGAGATTCTGAAGTATGGAAAATCAGTAGATAATATTCTATAAAAATTTAGATATCAAGAGACATGGAGACTTAAGTTATGGCAATAGAGATGAATCAAAAGAACCACATACAAGAGGCATTAGCAAAATAGAAACAGGAAATGATGACTGACTAAAGACATACAAGAGAAATTATAAAGTTGATAGCATTTGCTCTTTTAGTTTGGTCAACTGGGAGAATGAGATTTCCACAAACTATATTTTCCAGCCGAGCTGGAGAAATTGTTTTGTGTGTGTGTGTGTGTGTGTGTGTGTGTGTGTGTGTGTGTTCAGTAAGGGATTGGAAAGTAACATTTAATAACATACTAATTTAGAGTTTCTAAGATAATTGTATTACAATTGAAAATATGGGTGTGGAACTCAGATTATAGATAATGATTTGAGAGTAATTCCTTTATAAAAAATAAAATTGTGAAAGTATAAAATCATTAAGAAAGTTTGAAAAAATAATATGTACAAGGAAAGAATTTAGGTGGGAAGTTGTGTCAGTTTTTAAGGCTGCTATAAGAAATGACCAAAGAGTGGTATAAGATAAAAAAAAATTATTCTCTCACAGCCTTGGATCAGGAGTTGATTAGGCTGTGTTTCCTCTGGAGAACTGAGAGGAGAACCTTTTTATTTGACCTACTATAATAAACTTAAAATCACAGGGAGAATAGGCAACTGCTAGCCAACATAAAATAAATATGCATGTTAATCATAGGCAAAGAAAAGGAGATAAATAGCAGTTTTTTCTAGAAGTATTATGTTTAAGTACATAATTAGAAGTGTTTGAGTATCTTATAGGTGCAAGAAAGAAGTAACTGAAGGAGACACTAAAGGAAAGACAGGCATCAGGGAATGAAGGTGAAGATGAAAATGTTAAGAAGAAAAGAATGGAAAATAGTATTGCCTTAAAATGGTGGACCATTTTTCTTTGACCCAATAGGGAAAAATAGATACTTTTATAGAAAAGTATTGATGTAAAAAAAAGAGCCCTTAAGTTACTGTTTTATGACTTATATCTCAAAGGGAAGATGATGTGAAAGTCGTAGTAGGGCTGAAGTTGAGACAGAAGATTATAAATTTCTTTGAGAGTTGAATTAAAGATGATTTATTAGATTTATCATGGTTAAACAAGAACTTTTTTTGAGCAGACCAATAGGAAGAATGGAGAAAATGTATAGTTAACTGTATGTTGGCGTCTAAAGAGAATGTTAGCAGAAGAATTTAAATAGATGAATGATTTGAGGGTGTCTCATGTCTATATAGTAAATGATTGACTATGTGGTGTAGGTGGAGAAGTGAAGCAATGTAAGTAGAGTCTGATAGACAAAAAGTACTTGAATAAGTCAAGGGGAGCAAGAATATTGTAAGAGTAAAATATATTAAAATGATGGACCAGGAGAGGATTAGGCGGGCAAGAGAATACCAAATACTCCACATAAATTTTCAGGTGAGCCAGAGAAATGAATACAAATGGTTATGGATACTACCATTTCAAGTATACTCAGAATAAACATGGTAATTATTAGAGCTACAGTCTATTTTTCATTATGGTATGTAGCCTGGAATTTTATGACTTGGTATCCATAGCAACAGAAAAAAGCACAATTCCTTTCTCTTTCTTGTTAAAGATGTATTAACATCTTTGTGTAGTTATTGTTACAGACTTGGGACACTAGAATCAATTTAGATGATAGTAAGGTTCAGTAACGATGAAATAAGATTGGGGAGAAAAAAAGAAATTTAACCTGTAAGTGCTTTAAACATTATTAAATGCACAGGTTGTATTTGTTGTATTTTATATAAAGAGAACTGAAAAATTTAGAACATTGTTGTACAGATTACTGTGTGCTTATGTATAAACCACACTCACATTTGAGTAGACATTTCCTACAAGCAAAAGTATATTCATACTTCACACTCAGAAGAATGTATAAATGACGTATTCATTGAACTTTTTATCTGGTACAAGATTTGAAATCAGGGCCTGTGCTTGCTTGGCTGTTCCTCTACCATTTGAACCACACCCCTAGCTTCCAAATCAGGTATCAGGTATATTACTTACCCACATCTGCCAATATTGGTTTCATTATGTTACTGCTAAGTTTCCATTTGGAGTCAATGGCTGTTGTGTGTGTAAGGTCTTGAAAAATATCACAAAAAGGACGTTACCACCAAGGCCTAAGGGCCTAAAAGAACTAGAAGATGATTGATCCAAAAAACATGTATGATATTCTCCATTTAAAGATTTGCATATTAATTTACACATGTAAAATATATTGTGGAAAAAGTGGAAGACACAAAATATCATTCAAGGCAGAGTGGAATAGAATGACTACTTCTGGAAAGGCAAACATTGAATCTTCAACCACATATTTGCAATAAAAATCAGAAGATAAATAAAGCTCTTAAATCGCTGGGAAATGGGAAGATATTCATCCTTACACTTACACACTCATGCACATGGTGTCGCTCTTCACTGAAACACTTCTGAAGAGAAAGCTACCGTTTCTTCCTTCCTCCAGAAAATTTGCCAGGTATTGGAAAATCTGTTGCAAATCCTCCTGCACTAGGACGTCATAAAAACTGGTCCTTGCGAGGCACTTTCAGGTAAAATATTTTATATACTGTAGCCTTTTGAGTGTATCATGCGGTTTTCCTGGCAAAGAAGCCGAGGATCCTGGAGCCTGATGCTCTCGCTTCTGCTCCTTGCTACCTGGGAATCTGGGAGCAGCCAGCTCCACTACTCCGTCCCAGAGGAGGCCAAACACGGCACCTTCGTGGGTCGCATCGCGCAGGACCTGGGGCTGGAGCTGACGGAGCTGGTGCCGCGCCTGTTCCGGGTGGCGTCCAAGGGCCGCGGGGACCTTCTGGAGGTAAATCTGCAGAATGGCATTTTGTTTGTGAATGGTCGGATCGACCGGGAGGAGCTGTGCGGGCGCAGCGCGGAGTGCAGCCTGCACCTGGAGGTGATCGTGGACAGGCCGCTGCAGGTGTTCCACGTGGAGGTGGAGGTTAAAGATATTAATGACAACCCACCAGTATTTCCTGAAAGGAACAAAAGCATAATCATTGCAGAATCTAGACCTCCAGAAACGAGATTTCCACTAGATGGCGCATCTGATGCAGATATTGGAGTAAACTCGGCCTTGACTTACCGTCTAGATCCCAACGATTATTTCGCTTTGGACACACCAAACAAGCGTGAGCAAATGTCTTCATTGTCACTAGTATTAAAGAGAACATTGGACAGAGAGGAAATTGAGAAGCATAGTTTATTATTGAGAGCCACTGATGGAGGTAAACCCGAGCTCACCGGCACAGTGCAGCTGCTCATCACCATTGCTGATGTGAATGACAATGCCCCAGAATTTGATCGACTCATTTATAAAGTCAGAGTGCTGGAGAATGTATTCAATGGGACATTGATACTCAAACTAAATGCCACAGATCCGGATCATGGTACAAATGGAGATGTAGTCTACGCCTTTAGAAGACCTATATCTCCCGCAGTGCTATATGCATTTGACATAAATCCCTACAGTGGAGAAATTAGGACAAAAGGCAGACTGGATTTTGAAGAAAAAACGTTTTATGAAATTCCAGTGGAGGCAATTGATAAAGGACACATTCCAATGACAGGTCATAGTACTCTTTTGGTGGAAGTACTGGACATAAATGACAATGCACCAGAGGTCACTATCACTTCCCTGTCACTCCCTGTCAAAGAAGACACTCAGCCTAATGCTGTCATTGCTCTGATCAGTGTGTCCGACCGTGACTCTGGTGCCAATGGACAGGTCACCTGTTCCCTAATGTCCCGCACTCCTTTCAAGCTGGTGTCCACCTTCAAAAATTACTATTCATTAGTGCTGGACAGCGCCCTGGACCGAGAGACCACCTCTGACTATGAGTTGGTGGTGACCGCGCGTGACGGAGGCTCGCCTCCGCTGTGGGCCACCGCCAGCGTGTCGGTGGAGGTGGCCGACGTGAACGACAACGCGCCCGTGTTCGCACAGGCCGAGTACACGGTGTTCGTGAAGGAGAACAACGCGCCCGGCTCGCACATCTTCACGGTGTGGGCGCGCGACGCGGACGCGCAGGAGAACGCGCGCGTGTCGTACTCGCTGGTGGAGCGGCGGGTGGGCGAGCGCGCGCTGTCGAGCTACGTGTCGGTGCACGCGGAGAGCGGCAAGGTGTACGCGCTGCAGCCGCTGGACCACGAGGAGCTGGAGCTGCTGCAGTTCCAGGTGAGCGCGCGCGACGCTGGCGTGCCCGCCCTGGGCAGCAACGTGACTCTGCAGGTGTTCGTGCTGGACGAGAACGACAATGCGCCTGCGCTGCTGGGGCCTCCCGGCGGCGGCGGCGGCGGCGGCGGCGGCGGCGGCGGCGGCGGCGGCACGCGCAGCGAAGTGCTGTCGCGCTCGGTGGGCGCTGGCCACGTGGTGACCAAGGTGCGCGCGGTGGACGCGGACTCTGGCTACAACGCGTGGCTGTCGTACGAGCTGCAGCCGGCGGCGGCCGGTGCGCGCAGCGCGTTCCGCGTGGGGCTGTACACGGGCGAGATCAGCACCACGCGCGCGCTGGACGAGGCGGACGCCGCGAGGCAGCGCCTGTTGGTGCTGGTGAAGGACCATGGCGAGCCGGCGCTGACGGCCACCGCCACGGTGCTGGTGTCTCTGGTGGACAGCGGGCAATCGCCCAAGCTGTCTTTGCGTGCCTCGGAGGGCGCCGTGGCTTCGGAGGCGACGCTGGTGGTGAACGTGTACCTGATCATCGCCATCTGCGCGGTGTGCAGCCTGCTGGTGCTGACGCTGGTGCTGTACGTGGCGCTGCGGTGCTCTGGGGCGGCTGTGGGGCGGAGCGAGGGCGCGTGCGCGCCTGGGAAGCCTGTGCTGGTGTGCTCCAGCGCGGTGGGGAGTTTGACTTACTCCCAGCAGAGGAGGCAGAGGGTGTGCTCAGCAGTGGTTCCATCCAATACGGATCTCATGGCCTTCAGCCCTAGTCTTCCTCCTTCTCTGGGTTCAGTAGAAGAGCCATGTCAGAGGGAGGGGCAGGTAGAACGCCCGAAAGAGGTAAGTTCGAATATTTAAAAAAATTTTTTTATACTGATATGTAGCCTTCCTCGCAAAACTTACTCGTTTAAGCTATCTTTAACCCCAATTTTGAGATTATTTCTTCAGTATTTAATCCCTCTTGTACTTGATTAATTCCTCTCTAGTTATTTGGATTTGCTTTTTTTTTTCCTATAGTGCAACCTCATTGTCCAAAACCAGAAATATTTTGTTTTTGGGGCCTTCTCATTTAAAATGTTTATATGTATTTACAAAAATCCTATGGTGTGAGATCTTAAACATTTTACAAAAGCTAGTTCTAATGAGGCTAACCATGACTCTAATAATTTGAAGTTTTTAAAATTTAAGTTAAATCTATACATGTAGATGTGTTAATTTATAAATCATTGTTTTTATACATTCTGTTCATTTATCTTTGTTGTCTTTAAGAGACATCATTGTTTATTCTCAGAAGTCTTATACATTCCCTGCGATTTTATATTCACATTTTATTTGTGCTTAAATATCCCACAATTATGTACTTACACCTAAAGATTTTTGCTATTATTTCTTTGAAAAATTAATCCGTATGATGCATTTTATGTCTCCACAATATCCTGACACTTTTAGTATCATGTAGTATTCCATAGTGTTGATAGACAATTATTATTTATTATTCACCTATATATGAGTAAACACTTTGAATCTTTTTGCTTTGTTTTCCTTATAAAATATGTTGTATCATTTTATATATTCTCTAAAATAGCAGTGTTTCTTCTTCTTTTTTTTTTTTTTTGGTCCAGTAGTGGGGCCTGAACTCTGGCCCTGGGCGCTGTCCCTCAGCTCTTCAGCTCAAGGATAGCGCTCTACCACTTGAGCCACAGCGCCACTTCCGGCTTTTTTCTTTTTGCTTATGTGGTGCTGAGGAATTGAACCCAGGGCCTCATGCATGCAAGGCAAGCGCTCTACCACTGAGCCACCCTCCCAGCCCAATGACAGTGTTTCATTTCTATGGAATTCATTTTGCCATGTGGAATTGGTGCACAAAAAAGAACATTAATGTCAGTAATGTTGACTTAAGTTTCTAAACCTAGCTGAATTTGTAAATTTTGGTTTCAACATAGTGTCTTGTACATCTCATTGTTACAATGGGTCAACCTGTATCCCTATTTAAGCATTTTGTTTTTTCCTTTCCCTTCCCCAAACTAGAGAAATGTACATAAAAGATTCAGGGCACTAGAATCAAATTCATTGTCACTGATTTTTGTCACTTACTTTTGCAAATTGATTATGTGGTTTAGTCTGTTTTTTTTTTTAATGTTAGCTGTTAGGCTTGTTGATATTCTTGAATGTTTAGATTTACCATTTACATTCAATTTGAGAAAACTTTTAGTCATATTTATTCAATGTTTTTTCTTTCCTTCTAGTCTTTTTGGAATTTCAATTATACATATGTTGGATTGTTAGATATTATCCTGCAAGTCATTGAAACTTTGCTCATTTTTTGTATCTTTTCTTTCTGTGCTTCACTGGATATCCTTTGTTTATATATTTTAAAGGTTTCAAACTCACTGATGTTCCTTTTATAAGTAACATATCTGTTGATCCTAGCCAGTACATTTCTTTCTTTGTTTCTTATTGGTGTAAGATTCCTTCCAGGTATTCAAAATTTTATTTTATTTATCTTCACTTAATTTTAATCTTTTGTCTATATTCTTGCAAATATAAGCATTATTATAATATTTGAACACTCTTCTATTAATTTGAATATTTTTGTCATTATATGCTTCTTTTGATTGACTCTTCTTGTATAAGATTTATTTCTTCTTTTCATAACTGGATCTTTGGTCAGGTCTCTACCATTTGAGCCACAATGCCAGTCCTGGCTTTTTCTGCTTGTGTGGTACTGAGGAATTGAACCCAGGGCTTCATGAATGGTAGGCAAGCATTCTACCACTAAGCCACTTTCCCAGCCTCTCAGGTGCCAGATATTTTGAATTTTATAATGTCAGGTGCTAGATTGTGTGTGTGTGTGTGTGTGTGTGTGTGTGTGTGCATGCCCAGATATGTGTTTTTAAAGCTGTGGTTCTCAACCAGGTATAATATTTCCCCCAGTAAACAATTTGGCAGTGTTTAGAAATTGCCTTAAAGAAGAAATGTGGACAATCTTAGGGTTCATCTCATTTGTGTGTGCTTTCCCCATTCCTTATCTATTCTTGAAAATACTTCCTTCATACATTTTGTGTAGTTTACTTTTTGTTTATCAAGAAAAAGCACACAGAAATCCGTACATTATTGTTTGACAAACAGTATTCATCATCTCTGTACTGTTTCTTTAAATTCCAATACAATAGCAGTAGATTTGAGCACAAAATTGCGCTCAAGTGTGGATATCTGTTTGTTAATCCTGTATTGGTTACATTAACTTTATTGATTACATTAACTATACTTCTTAGTAAAGGATACACAAGTGGCTTTTGTCTGTAATATTAGCTAGTCAGCAGGCAGAGTGAGATCTGAGGACCCTGGTTTGAAGCCAGCTAGGTAGGAAAGTCTGTGAAACTCTTATCTCCAATTAACCTCTAAAAAAGTGGAAGTGGAGGTATGACTCAAATGATAGAGCAGTAGCATTGGGTAGAAAAATTCAGGGAAAGCACCCAGGCCCTGAGTTTACACCCTGGGAATCACATACACACATGCGCGCGCGCGCACACACACACACACACACACACACACACACACACACATACAAAGCATAGAAATAAATATTCCCTTTTAAACTCAATATGATAATGTCTTTCTTTTAATTCTGAATTTAGATCATTCAAGTTTATATTATGGATGGTATGCTTCATTGCATTTTTTCTTCCATTGTACTACATATTTTTTGTTATTTTATTTGTGCCTTTTTCTCTGGTTGTGATGGTTTGATCAAATGAATACTTATTACCTTTTCTCTCCTAATTTGTAAATTCAAATACAGTTTTTGTTTGAGTAATGCACACTTTTTCTAGTTATTTCTGTGTTTGAACATTTTTTGGCTGTAAGATGTAACATACTTACTAAAAAGTAATTATATACACAAACATATCTGTGGTTTAGGAAATATTTATAAGTGAAAAATAGTATAGTTTCAAAGAACTAGAATATGTCTGGCACTCCAGTATTCTTTTTTGATTTCTACCTGATCACAGCCCTGTCAGATTCCCAGAGGTCACCTTTTGCATGACTGCAATTATTATTATTTGTTTGTAATAAATAGTTTAGTTTTGCATGTGTTGAACTTAATACATGAGCTTAAAGTATTATAATCTCATTTCCTTATTATTGAACTGGACACTGTGCTTGTAGGATTTTTCCATGTTATTTATATATGTAATTTTATTGTTTCCATTTCTTAAAAATAGACTATTGAGTAGACAACAATTTGTTTTGAACCATTTCTTGATATCTTAGTTATTTTTAATTTTAATTAAAATTAGGGGCTGGGAAGTTAGCTCAGTGGTAGAGCGCTTGCCTTGCATGCCTGAAGTTCGATTCCTCAGCACCACATAAGCAAAAAGAAAAAAGCCAGAAGTGGTGCTGTGGCTCAAGTGGTAGAGCGCTAACCTTGAGCTGAAGAGCTGAGGGACAGCACCCAGGCCCACAGTTCAGACCCCACAACCGGACCCCTCTCCCCCCCAAAAATTAAAAAAATTAAAATTAAAATTTTATTATTTTAATGTTTAATAAATTATTTATTTAATCATTTTCAATTTATTTAATTAACAAATTAAATAAAAATTAAATAAATGGTTTAATAAATTCAAATTTTAATTAAAATTAAAATTTTAATTAATTCAGTTGCTCTATTCTTCTCCACTACTTGTTACAGTTAAAGCTTGCTGGATGCAGAGCTGCCTCTCCTTGTGGGTTTAATTAGTGTTTTTTAAAAAGTGAAGTTGAGTATCTTTTCACTATTATAATAGTAATCACTATTAGGTAGTAAATTTAAATGCCTTTATGAAGCAAACATTTTTGATTATTTTGTATTCTGAACCTCTTTGTTGCTGATTACTAGAACTTAAGCATTTATGCCATACGTACATATATATTCTGGCCTTTCCCCCCACATATGGTCTATTTTTGTTGTTGGTGGTGGTGGTGATGGTGGGGCTTGAACTCTGGGCCTGGGCACTATCCCTGAGCTCTTCAGCTCAAGGCTGGCTTTCTACCTCTTGAGACACAGCACCACTTCCGATTTTCTAGTGGTTTATTGGGGATTAGTCTCGGGGACTTTCCTGCCTGGGCTGGCTATGAACCGCTATCCTCAGATCTCAACATCCTGAGTAGCTAGGATTACAGGCATGAGACACTGGCACTTGGCTTTAAAGGGTCTATTTTTATTATCAAAATTCTTGATTCAGTTGTTCTTTATATATTTAAAATTTCTGATTGGTACTTTTTTTTGTTTCTGGATTAAGAAATGCATCTCTCTCTGAGATGATGAGCATATTCTCCTATTTTATATATTAGGAACTTAACAATTTTTGCTTTTTATATTTTGTTCTTCAATATTTCTATAATTCATTTCTAGAACATACACATGCAGGAAATGTACAGTGTTATTTTTCATATACATAATATCACGTTGTAAAAACATTTCTTTTACTGCTTCATGCTATTACTCATGTCACATGTGTAATATTTCTATTTGTATGGGTCAGTTTCTGAGTGATTTATTAGCCTTTTTGTCTTACGTCAGTACAATTGACATCTAATTTTAATTGCTATGGTTTAAATTAATACTTAATATCTCATAGTACAAATACCAGTGATTTAATTTTATTTGCTTTTATTATTTTTTACTTTTATTTCTTATTTTAATTAAAAATTTTTGTTATTTTATTTTAATGGACAAATAATTGTATTTTTGTTGTTGTTTTGTTTTGCTCATGGGGCTTGAACTCTGGACCTGGGCATTATACCTCAGCTCTTCAGCTCAAGGCTAGCGCTCTACCACTTGAGCCACAGTGCCACTCAGCCCCCACCACTTCTTA